CCGTGAAAATTTAATAAATGACAAATTAAAAAGGCATGAACATTTTTTTTGTATCGAAAAAATATCGAACCGTGACACCAAAGTATCGAACCGAACCGTGAATTTTGTGTATTGTTGCACCCCTAGTAATTATGGAAGAAAGCACTGTGCTTTTAAATTTACGTACACAATGCAATTTTAAATTCCCAGCTATGGGAGTAAATGTACATCACATTCATTCATAAAAAGTCAGTCATGTGTCACAAAACTTCAGATTGAAATTTGCCTACAATTCAACTGAAATCACCTACATAAAACTCAACCACTCTTACCCATTTCCCATTAATCAAGTGTATTTTTGTGTCTTGAGATACAATATTTTACACCAGCTAGCAGTTTTAACTGGTAGAGTATCCAGCATGCTTTAAGCACAAACATGCCAGACAGTAGGAAGGAAAGGAAGGAAGGAGGCATGGTAGGGCAGGAGAGGGAGGGTTGACCAATGTCCCACCTTCCCAGTCTGCACTTGGCAATGACTGCAACACGGGGAAGATGTCACCAAAATCATAATCTAAAAAAAAGGAGGGAATAACATTCAACATTAGAGAGAGGTGGAGTGGAGACAGGTGAGAGGAGACTTAGTCAATGTCACAGAAACAGTAAAACAACATGATATGTGGAACACAAAATAACAGAATCAATGCGGAAAACTAGACTAAAAAAAGGAGAACTGGCTTGGTGCTTTGTGGGGTGTGAATGGGAAATGCTTAGTGCTGCAATCACCCTGATGACAATATTCAATGACAAATGGCATCTGCACGCCAAGTCAGCTGATAAAATGCACTTTGATATCTGTGAGTAATAAAAGGCCAAGGTCAAACTAACTTCTGCTTTGACATGCCATTAGCCTGACATCACAGTATGAGCAAAAGCACATGAGTGTGTGATTGCACTGATGTGAACCCTGATTACATCATAAACCCCAAAATACAGCCTGCCATGCCTGCATGTCCTCTCAGCAGAAGAGCAGAATATAATGACATGAGAGCTAATTCCACACACTGCAGACACAGCAACACTTAAAACTAACACTACATATTTCTATTGGCTATTAAAAAAAATTCAATAAATAAAATAAACTGACTACTCAATCTTGACTTTAAGGGCTATTAAAGAATTAATAGCGTGTAAAGTTGCAAAGATTGCAAAACCAGTTAGTCTGTTTCTCTACTCTAAAACACACATAATCAAATCTGAAGAAAAGTAAGAAAAGCAGGAAATAAAAATTAGCTACGGATTAGCACATTAAGTACACCTTACCTTCACTAGAAGGAGCTATGGCACTATCATCCCACTCCAGGTTGGTGGAGGTGAGGGAGGTGAAGGAGTGCAGAGACAGGCTGTCTGAGCTGGGCAGTCTTTCCTCAAAGTCCAGCAGGTTCTGTGGTTTGTAGTATTCTGGCATGTAGGGGGCCACATCTAGATAGGGCACATCCTGAACCACCAAGACCCAACAAAAACATATAGTTATGCTGCAGTCATTTAAGAAATTTAGTTTGTATTGATATGGTAGTCAAGTATATGCTAACCAGCTCCAGATCGAAGCGAATGAACTCCAGGCCGGACACCAGTGTGAGAAAGAGTGTGAGGTGGTCATGACTGCAGACCAGTGCGTTCCTACCCGTGAAGAATTTTTTTAATCAACAAAAATTTGTGAGACGTGTTCACAAAAGACAATGTTTCAGTTTCAATATAACTGATTAGCAACATTTCATTTCCTTTAAGCCATCGGGATCAAACGACTAGATGACTTACTTGAAATAATACTTATGCAGCAGTGCTTGGTTCTCCTGAAAGAGCCGAAGATAGCTCTCTAAAGAGCTCTCGCTCAGTGCCAGGTATAGCCATGCACGACCTACAAACAACAAACATAATAGTTCAGTAATAATTTACTCTCCAAGTACTCCACATGTGTGTGTGCTGGTCTAAGAGAGATGCCTCACTTCGACCAAGGTTGGTTGCTATGTGCTGAAGCTCATCTATCTGCCGCACAGCCTCTCTTCTAGTGAAGTGAAGGACCAGCACCCAGTAGCCTGAAGAAATGTCTTGCAGCCTGCAGTGAAAAGTGTATATGTAAACTGAAACCAAAAGCATCCACAAGTTGTAACGGATATCATGGATGGACATAATTCTTGCAGAAAAACACAGAAAAAATACAACTGATACAAATGTTTGCTCTTTCAATCCATAGACTTTATACAAAAGATCTATTCAACATCTGGATCTGAAAACTGAAGCAGTGCAGAAGAGATTTTAAACAGCATTCTCCCTCATCAGCAGGGGGAGTCTCGCACAGCTGCAAAAAGTCAGAGCGCATAGCAAAAGTGGACTGTTCGTCCATTGATTCATGGCCTCAGTAAACATTTTCTGGAAGAGTTTATGGTCTCAGTTTCTAGGTTCAGGTCTTATGGAAACAGAACATGATGTTTATTTTGTACAAGGCTATGCTTTAGGGCAGGACCATCTTGTTGTTGACAAATCGAACAAGCTGTCTCCACACTCATGGCCTTTGATCAATGATCAATGGGCTTTGATCGGTGGTTGTTTATCAACGGTTGTGACAATTTGCATATTAATGATCAAGACACTGACCTCACAGCTCATTGTTCATTCATTGGGCTGGTCTCAGTTACTGTACAAATGTTCTGTTTATAAGGTTGGGGAAACCTACAGTCAGCTGAGACTGAAAAAGTCATTTGGATGAGTGACGAAACGTTTCTCTCACTGAAAACGCTACGAAAAGATGAACAAAATCAACCTTTTGGGGTGTCTACACACTGACATGTAGCTTGAAAGGACTCAAATGGCAACAAGTAAAATGCTCAGCTTGATGGGAATTTTGCAAATCATGGTGTCATGGTAGCTTTTATGTACAGTGTGTGCAATCTGCTTCTAGTGACCAGCTTACCCATATAGCAGAGCGTGGTCAAGGTGTTCACAGAGCCGTTGCAGTACCCGGTCGTGATTCCGAATAGCTGGAGTTTCATCCTCGCAGGCAGCAAAGTAACTCTGCAGCTGTGAAGAGACATCGTTGGTTTGTTTTGTTGTTCATTCACTCTAGACAAATAAAATAGCCACCAATAACCACGTAAAGGACCTCTTCCCATGACTGAATTTGTAAAACTGGTCATTCACTGTTATTTGTATTGCTTTAGTTTCACACAACAGCATCTTTGATTTCAAACTATCTGTTTGAAATCAAAGATGATGTTGTGTGAAACTAAAGCAATATAATTGATGATGAAGTTAAAGTATATTTATGGATGCCATCAACACTGCATGAATAACATTTAGGACAAGGTCTCAAGAAAATTAATCATACAATACAACACACAGTTAACCAAGGAATTTAAGCCAAGTCAAGGACTTGCCAAGAAAGTTCGCCTTTCATGATTTACATTGACAGTCAAGGTAAGTTGGCTGCAGCACAGATTTCATAAAATATCTTTGACTCTGGGCTGGAGACTTCAGCTAGCTATAGGATATGCATGTATTTCTTGTTACCTATAATAGGGACAGGAGGTACTAAACAGGCTTTAGTTCATACATTGTTCACGTGATTGGTCTTCAATGTGATTAGTGATGAGCGGTGCCACTTCTATCCTTGTAGTGACTATTTCACTTCAAATCGCATGTGCTGGCACCGAGGACCAAATAGTGACAGGCAACACTGTTTCATTGTCCTGGACTGACCTGCAAAGCCCCTTGAACTTAATCCTGAACCTAATATAATGTATTAAAATACCAAAGCATGAACAAACTGTGTGCGCTTTGGGGTTTGAGGATTGCAACTCAAGAAAAAAACGATCATTTATTTCCTGTGACTTTATTCACATGACTAATGTTTGTCAGAGGTAAACACTGTACATTTGCCCACAAGCTTGAGGAATATCTGCTTACAAGCACTGTTACAGTCCTTTAGGTGTCAGTCCAATAAAACATATGAACATGGTGAATTACAGGGTAAAACCTGGTGAAACACAAATATTTGCTTGATGGAATAAACAAATATGGAATTTTTCTAATTCAAACACCCGATTATGGGGCTGGTGATTTGGACTGGAAAATACAACACAGATAAATGAAAATGTCAAGGGGAAGAAGATTAAATATATAAATAACTGTAATAATATAAAACGATATAAAACAATAAATAAAATGACAAAAAATAAATCATTAAATAGAAAAACGTGGTTTTTGAAAACGAATGCAAAAGCTAACTGGGAGAGAAGAAGGAAGACGGTGCAATGCTCTCTGTCAGGTTATAGGAAATGTCCCACAACACCTAGCAGATCTGCACATGACTTCCAAAATGGCCCATTACTTACATTTAAAATCAAGAGCAAAGATCCACTGACCTCTTTTGCTACAAATGTGTCGGATTTATGGTTGCAGGTATGTTTATAACAGATGCCGCAGTAAACAAACACAGGGGCTTGGTGTCACTTTTGTTACCATAGCCAAAAAAGACACAAACTTCTACTTAACTGAGAGCTGGAGCCATAAAACATTATATGAAACATCTACTGCGCTATTTTCTCTTTATCAGTAGGGGCAAGGCCCTCCTGTGTCCTCCTGACTTGAAAGTTGCCCTCTTTAGCAGACAAAAGATGACCTAATGTTAGCTATAGTGATTCAAACGTGTGAAAAATCTTAACGCGAAAATGTCTGGCAGTATTTTAGCGGTAACCGACCCCAGCAGCGCTTACCTTCTTAACAGAAAATGAGATATTTTCCAATATACGATCCTTTACTTTCAGTTGATCCATCACTGGTCTGTTGGCAGCTTTCAGCAGGCAGTCAGCTGACTCAAAGCACTTGTTTTGCTAAAGCTAACGCCGCCTGCAGTAGCTTGCTAACATTATCCTGCCCACCAACACAACTGGTTTCCAAACTAGCAATATAGGACTAATGTCAGTGTTAGCGACCGACACTAGCTCGGGACTATAATGCTAACGCCAAAAAAACAGCGAAGCGGTGTAACCTCAGTCACTGAACAGCCCGGTTAACCTAGTGCAGTTACCCTATGGCTGTGCATTAGCTTTAGCCACTCGACTTTTTTTTTCTAGGGGCTTGCGATAGCTAACAAGTTTTAAAGTTAACCCACATTTTACTGTTAGTAGAACTGATTTTTCTCACACTCTGCGTTTTATTACTTTGACTGCCACTTGTGAACTACGCCTACTTTAAGTCACCTCTTTGTGCTTATTTCCGTAGTCAATTAATCAATGTAACGCATGCTAAGGTTACTTTCATGCTATCGTCTTCTGAGTGACAACTGAACTCACGCAGTCAGTGAGTTACGTCAATGACGTCATCCGGTTTGTTAATCGCAGACTGAAGGACCTTAAATTTTCGCAAATTTAAAGATTTTATGCTCAGAATTGTGCCAAAACCCAATATCAATGTAAATTAGTGTGTGATTGAATTAATCTGAATGAAGTGATGAATTCGGCACAAGACTCCATTGTTTTAACTTGGTCATAAACTTTTTTTTCCCCAGCGTTTCCAGCTCTTCTTCAGACCTTGTTCATCTTGGTAAATGCTAAAGCACCCTGGCTCTTTTTTAAAAATGTGCACATATCAAGATTAAGGTTTGTTTAATATCTAGAGTTTTGATAGTTGTTCATTTTTACTTTTCCCCACATTTCGCTTCTTGTTAAGTATCTGCACATTAAAATGAGTGTCATTAAACATTTATTTTGCCTTAAGCACAAATCATAGCAGCTCCACATTCAGTGGACCAAACCACTCGTAACATTTCAATGAACACCGTTATTGCGTGTTAAGTTACAGAGACAACAGGCATTTCTATTGAGTGGAATGTCAATATTTTATTAAGATGACTCCAACTTATTTGGAAACACATTAATCTTATCAAAAAACAAAAACAAATGAGTTGTTGCCATAATCAGTGCATGTAGTTACCACAATAAACTTTTCTGGCTGAAAAATAAAACAATGCAGGTCAAATTTTATTGTAAATTTCTTCCCCATTTCTAAGCAAATGTTTGACTTGAAATATTTAATCAATTGTAAAGCAACTTTAAACAAACGCTGACTGACTTCTGAACAGACAAGGGCCACTGAGTGATTCCAAAGTGTTAAAAAAACCTCCCACAACCACCGCATTACAGTCAGGGCCTCTTTTGGCCCTCAGACCCCGACAAAGTGAGTTCCCCAATAACAGAACAGAAATAGTCCAAGTCCCTGCATGAAGACTCAAGCCATCACGACATTCATTTCCACTCTTCACACCACAAGTTCACTTCCAGTCTTATTTTCTCTTCCCCACTGGCATTCTGTATTAGTCAGACTTCTCCTTCTCTTTCATGTGGAGGAAAACTACGCTGAAGACAAAGAGTCCAGCCATCATGGAGAAGACACTGGCATAGTATGGGTAGGCTGAGGGGATGAAGCGCTCATACTGGGTGTGCTGCAGAGGACGCACCGATACCTACGGTGGAGACACACAACTGGATTAGTTAGCAAGCCATACAGCACATCAACTAATAGGTTACTATGTTACTATTACAACAAATGATTGATAAAAGAACAGAGGTAGTAACCAGGATGATTAATTGAGCAATACTTTCCATATTTACCATTTCTATACATTTATCTTATAGTAAATAAACTCAACATGACTCAGTCTTTAGGAGGGAACTTCTGATGAACTTGCCTGAGTGGAGGAGTAGAGATGTGTATATCCTAGTCGGTTATAGTCCACTTTGAACTGGAAGACTCCATACACATCAGGCAGCTTGAACTGGACACTGTATTTACCTCCTAGTTGAACAACAATGGAACATTTATCATAAATGCAGTTTGTAAATATGATGAGAATATGAAGTCAATCCTGCCAAACATTATAAATACAATACATGTAGGTTGTAAACAAGACATAAATGAATGTAAATATATTCTATAATACAATACCATACCATTTTTCTTGAGATAAGTCCGGACGAAGGGATCGATCCTCACAAACTCAAGCTGGATATCATCTCCGTCGAATGGGATCCAACGGCCCTCGGACAACATCTCAATGACAATGCTGTATTCCTGCATGAAAAGGGTTTACAGTGATTGAGCGACACTGCATTAAAAACAAATATCTTCACGGTGATGATAACAAACAGACAACAAGACCCACCACGAGGTCGGTGATGGTGTATGCTGTTGGGGCGTCGGTCTCCCCCACGCGATGATGGGTAACAGCTCCCACTCTGAGGACTCCAGCCTCCTTGAACACCCAGCGAGACAGAGCCTCGGCCAGCTCCATGTTCCCTGTCCGCTCGTGCCTGAAAAAGCCCACAAGGACAGGGAACACTGACATCTGTAACCAACTATATTGTAACCAAATCTAATATCAGTGACTAGTTATTACAATCTTACATTTTAAGGCTGTTTTCCACCTACAGATTAGCTTTAGGAGGTCAAACGCACTAAACTGCAAACTCAGTGGAACACATTCTAAGCATCTAAACTTGCAGAAATCTGCAGTAAATGTGTTTGAACTTGTAACATTCACATGGCAGAAAAACAAGCCACGCCATCACTGACAGGAGTACCTCTGTGAACCTGGTGTGGCTTTCTGCACAGCAGAGTTGAAGAAGGCATCGCTGAAGAAGTCCAAGGAGCCACTAAACACCACTCTGGCATTGTTTCGAGCCTGGAGCCCAGCGATCAGCAGGGTGTTCTTGCCAACAGCGTGGGGGTACTACAGCATTAAAAAAAAAAAAAAACACACAAAACAACAACAACATTAAAAAAGTAAAATTAACTTAGTACCTCCTGTCCCCAAACGGTCATGGCCAATAGCTGCCGCTCCCTGAGCGTGGTTGTGCATGAGGTTTGGTCCTGTTAAAAGGGGTGATACCGAGAAGTTTTTCTTCTCACTATCAAGTGTTTGCTCATAGCAGGTCATCTGACTGTTGGAGCTTTCCTCTTCACAATACAATATAAAATGCCTTGAGGTGACTGTTGTTGTGATTTGATTCTCTCTATAAATAAAATCAAATTGAAGTGAACTGAATATCCATTCAGGCTAATAATAGTTATACAAGGATCTCAACTCAACTTGTTTATTATTGGACTCTACCAGCGTAATTTTGCGTTAAAAATAGTTGAAAATAATCCTTAATCATCTCATACTGGGCTTGGTGCTGCCCTGTGGTTCATTCTGCCTGAACAAAGCAGTTTTAGCTCCACTCTTTGTTCTGAAACTTTGACCACGTTATACATTGCGGAGAAAATGAGGTAGTGCACAATAATCTTGTCTTTTTCTTCCAAAAGCATTACTACACAATTTTAATTTTAAAGGGCTACTTATCATGCCTGGGACAGTTTGTCCTGAATAAATCATAATTCATTACCTGACATTATCATGACATGTCAACAGTATTACCTGTGAGATGGGTCTGTCAGGGAAAAAGGAGTAGGAGGTGGAGGACCCAGTAAGGATGTCCAGGACAAGAGGGTTGTCTGGGTCTGCCACCATGCTGGAAGAAGTGAGCCACATTCAATATATTTTCCACTGAGCATGGGAGTTAATCTTTTACAATGACTAAAAATCTAACAACACTATCTGTTACATCTTCTGACACAAGTCTCTGCTCCAGCTAAAAGGATGAATTTATCATTTATTACACATCAGCGTGAAAATCACTGTGCTTACCCGACACCCTTGAATAAAACAGGTTTCTTGGTGGGTTTGCCGACAATAGTGGGAGCTTTCAGCAGGTTCTCTGGGTCAGCGACAATCAGGGTATGCTGGAGTTACAAAAGATCACAAATTACAACAACATAACAAAACATAAAATGGCAGCTGTGTAAAGGCCAAGCCATTTACCTCTCCAGGATCAGACACATCATAGTTGTGATGATCAATGACGGCAGTCTTTTCCTCGTCAAACTCAATGCCACACTCACTGCCCAGCTCCCTCAGAGGGTCGCCTGTGAAACAAGAACAAAACAAAAATACTTGAATGATCATACTTAAACATTTCAAATAATATACGACTGGAACAAACACTGTTATAAATCAACTGACCGATGTCTGAACTTGCAGCAACCAGGACATTGCCCCCACCGTCAATGAAGGATGTAATAGTCTCCACATTTATATTTCCACCAAAGTCTGCGGATGACAAAAAAGTGTTTACCTTCAGGAAGAAATCACCTGCCACAATTTATTTATTTTTTGTTTTAACGCTGCGAAACTCACCTTCAACTGATGGTGAGAAGATAATTAAGTGGTCATACAGGAACTGGCCATATTTGATCAGCGACAGGGAGGGATCATCAGCGGTCTTGAAGGTGAGGTCAAATCCACGGTCTGAAGAAGACAGATGCATTATAATTAACAGTAAAAATGGTGTACTAAGGCTAAAGTTTTAACACAGTTGTTTTTGAAAATTAGGACATGTTTACTACAACAGGATACAGCAAAGGTGTGCAAGCACTGATGTTATCTCTAACAAAAGCATGCAATATCCCCGAGTATTATAAAAAGTTGTATCTTCAGGCAAAGCGTTTTGTTTTACATGTCTTCTTAAAACAGTAATAACCCAAACTGTATGAACTCCTCTTTTGAAGACTGTTGCCTAATCAGGAAAGTGGATTTCTCCCACTACTGTACCTACCAGCAAACCAGAAGAGCAGAGGAGCGGAAATGCAAATATGCACGGAAATGCATAGTATTATTTAAATAATTTTAACAACAACAGCATCGAGCACATCTTCATCTATATAATTATATTACACTGAGTTGTAAGAGGCTCAAATTACGTTAGGACCGCGAACACATTACAGCTAAGCTAATGTTAGCATTCTTGCTATCGTGCATCAATTTCTGGTCTAGCAGCGGCTTTTTGTTAGCTGCCAAAAACTTGCTGATGCCCGGTAAACGAGGCATATATACGACTGCATAGCAGAGTAAGTAAAGCTGCAAAAAAAAATAGTATTATCATACTGACCTGCCAGACTGCGGAAGAAGATTGAATGGGTGTCTTTGATGTTAAGGTTGTCCAGCAGCACCAACGTCTTACCGTCAGCCAAAGCACAATGCAGCACGGAGGCTAACGACAGCAATAAAAGGACGCTATGGTCCAAAAGCTTGAACCGCCTCATTAACACCGTTCCGGTTCGTTTTTTGGACGATGATAAAGAACCGGACCGGTTCGTCTGCATGACTGCTGTCAGCGCCGCCATTTTGCTGCAGAAGTCGACGTCAGCGTTAGCAGTTGACTAAACTCTGACCCTAAGAGGCAGCCAATCACAGAGCGGAACGCGTCGCTCTG